TCTACAAAAGGTCACGTTCTCAAATTTATTTCACAAAGCTCATATCATCTCGATGAGATAAATAATTTAAATTGCACGCTGTCAGTTTAAAAGAACGCCGTAACTAGGATCTTTTTTTCAAAATCAGTGAAGGTCCAGCAGGCTTCTAGCCTCTTCCAGGCGTTCAGTTAGTTGGTGCGCAGAGCGAAAATCCCGCACCGTTTTTCGCGCTGCGCCCCAACTAACTGAACGCAAGCTAGCGGACTTCCCAAGGTACAAACTCGCTTCTCGAGTCTGATACACAACGCTACTCGATATCGAGGTCCTCTTGTGCTAACGAGTTACAAACGTAAAAATGAACCAAAAACAGGTTTCTAGTAATAAATTGAAAGCTTGCTTATTCTTTCCTTTTGTCAAATAATACGATGCAAACGCAATATCGAGTTCGACGATCGAAAGCAAATCAATTTTCCAGTAACGATAAAAGCCAAGCGTAAAATGCTTCCGTCGTTTTGCCAGTATTTCCCCGGCACGGATCGAGCATGGTTTCTGGACAGGTAACATATTATCCAGGCTGACCTCAAACGGAACTTCCTGCAACATAAATAGAAATCACAAGTCCATGCTGAAAGGACACTTCTGAAGTGTAGCACATGGGGAAGGAGTGAAAATTACTCAAGCGACTTTTCATTGCATGAATATCTACGCACAGAGGACAGCGGGGTGGGGGAAAGCTATTTTCGTTGGTTAAACCGGGGTAGGCCAGCATCATAAAATTAAAACGCTTTGTTACTAGGAAATAAACTATGTTATTAATCCTAAATGGGGTTAAAACGGAACATAAGGCCTAAATTTTTATCCATATCCAGATGTAAAGCAAAAACTGGTCTTACTACCAACATGACACATAGAGTGTAGTGAAAGAGTGCCAAAATGTGTTTCCTACCCCGACCGGAACTGGAACTTCACGCCCGTATTTCGGCCCGTATTTCACTCAGATTTTCTTTCAGTAGGGTCCTAATATGGTCGTCCTTTCTCTGCTTGGCTGACAGGACCCTTATTGCGATGCTCTTCTTTTTGCGTGCTGTGGCTCCTGTTAATGAGGCTTTCTGTTTCAGATGTTGCTTCAGGTAAAGAAGAAAGAGAAAACCGGGCAGAACCAGAAGATTGAAGCCGGCTGTTTACCTTCATCTTGTCACTGTGTATAAGCTGTCCAAAACGATTAGCAGCCATGGCATTTGGTGAGGAAGGCATTTTTTTTTTCGAGATATCACCACATCACATGATTTTGGCCTATCAAGTAGTCCAAAATAGGCTAAATTTCGGGCAACTTTGGGTGAACCTACAACTTCCAGAAACTCTTTCAATTTGGTGATAATTTTTTTCACTTACTACTTTTCACTTACTCTAGAGTTCCTTCGCTTCTATGTTATGGCTGCTAAATATCGCTGCCAAATCGATGAGCACGACCCAAATTTTAGCCATTTCCAGTGAGTTGTTGTACAAAAGTGTGGCAGTCTATTTCCAAAGTAACCATTTTGCATATAGTCTTAATTTTCACTGCTACCGATATTCAGTTTAGTTAAAACTGGTATCTACAAGCAAATCAGAGTCATTGGTCTCACAGTCCAATGAAAATCTTCAGTCGTAATTTTTTCCTGGTCAGTGTAGAATGCAGACTGCAGACTGCAGACCAGGGGTAAAATACAGACTGAGGGTAAAATGCAGACTGCAGACCAGGAGTAAAATGCCGACTGCCGACTGCAGACTGTAGCTGAATCATGCTGTAACCGTTTCCATCATTGTGAGTCAACCGTAAACAGGCAAACCAAAGCGTTATTTCTAAAGGTTAACCTGCTACATCGTGATTACCAGAGTTCTGATCCTCTTCGATTTCTGTTTACACCTCATCTGAAAAGCAAGATTTAACACCCTGTCAGCAAATCATTACTTTAGACTTGCAACTTCATCAACTTCACTGGACTTCATAAGTGTTCAACACAACACTGACCCCTACTGACCCCCCTACTGAACCCCCCCTCCCTACTGACCCCCTATAAAATCAATGGGAAAGAGGAAATAAAGCCAAGAACTATCAATGGTACCAATTCAAGTTCATTAATAAATTTAACTAACCTGAAATTTCCAAGATGACAGACGCATTGCAGCTTTCTGACTCACTTTGCCTTTGATTGCAAGTGCAGGTTTTGTTTGCAGAAAATCAAGTACAGAACAAGTTGGAATATCATCAAGTATGATCTTTGTACCCATCAGCAAATTAAGCAATGAAATTACTGAAGAAACGTTGGCAATATCAACATCCTTGCAATTAACTGTGGACAATACGGACAAGCGAGACATGAACATCAAGTGGAAGTCAATTTTGCATGATAGTTCCAGGTCTCTTGGCAATTTTCCCCAATGGATGTAACTTTCTCCTTGATGCACATATTCGTCAAAAAGACCACGGATTCTTGAGGTAACCCAATCTCATTTGATCAACATTTCTTATAAACTTAAGAAGGTTATAAAAAATTGCCTTTTATTTAAAAAAATGGTGAACAACACAGCCACGAACAACAGGGCATCGACCTTTATTGAGGACAAACGTAACCAATATTCCCAATGTTTAAAGCAATTTATCAAATATTAATTCACTTGATTCTACAGTCAGGGTGCTCGCATTTTTTGGTTGGGTGGCAGTAAATGGGTCACTTGTTAACTAATAGTGATTTTTTCGTAGTGAAAATTCATCTTAATCACTTGTGTGACTTCTGGTTAACGTATCGCATGCGTGTCGTCCGCGATCACTGATGAACATGTTCATATTGATAGGGTTTCTTCGTTACTTTCATTGCTTAATTTTCTAATGGATACGAATACCATACTTGATGGTATTGCAACTTATTCTGTTTTCTGCAATCAAAACCTGCACTTGCAATCAAGGAAGAAGAGAGTTGAAAATCCGCAATGCGTCGACTGCATCTTAGAAATTTTAGGTAAGCTAAATTTATTACGAACTTGGGGGGAGGNGTCAGTATGGGGGTCAGCAGTCTTTTAGCCAGATGGGCGTCCAGGCATCCTGTGGGCTGCCACTTTTTAAAGAAGATTGTTTTATCGTCCATATGTCTGCATTACAAATTGTTCATTTGAGTGGGCCCGATAGCACATTTTGGACGCCCACTTTTCAAATCCTAGGTAAAAGCCTGGGGATCAGTGTTTATGCGAACTACAATTCAAACGCGCAACGTTCGAGTGTAGACTGAGCTAAAAGTGGCTAATAGTCAACACCAACTGAAAAGGAGAAGGGCTGAGGGGGGGGNAAAAAAAAAATAATAAAGCAAGCAGCTCTCTACACTTTATGTCCTTCATGCTAGGTAAGCTTTACTAATTGCACGTTTAAGAAGAAACAAAATCAGCAGGTCACATAAATGAAGGAATTTTTCTGCGAGTATGTTTTGGGAAAATCAGTCAGATATATACATGACGTAATTTGAAGTATGCTGAAAGCATGATACAGCAGAAGGCAAGGCATTTGACAAACCGGATTGCCCTGTATGGTGAGGCATAGGTTTTCATTTGAGGTTGCATAAACTTATGCTTAAACCCAATCCCTAGTAACGGCAGAGCGAGTTGTTGGGGTATCTGAACTTACAGCTTAGATTTTTAGCAGTCTCACTGTAAAACGTCTATGTGAGCAGTCACATCAAAATTTACAAAAAAAGAAAAAACAGTCATGCATGGCCTTTTGAACCTAGTCTATCAGTTAATGAATGAAACTGACAGGTAATCACCTCATTTGTAAACTGAGCTTATGAGCTTAGCTTACCTCTGTCCAGGTTGTCTTCAGAGGTCAACAAAACGCCTCCTCAGCCTCCTCATACCTCCCTCTGCCGGGTTACGATCTTCAAACAAAGTAAAGCATGTCAGCTATAAGCTTAAGTTTCAAATCAAGTAACAACAACGGTTGAAGCCGTTCTAATTAAAACAAAGAGCAAACCTTTGATTCTTTCTACCAATGTTTTGCACGCGTGCAATATGGCGGAGAAAAACAACACTCGAAAAGATCAGTGGGAAAAATGGTTGTAAGAGGGGAGGGGCGGAAGGTTTGAAGACTAAAGACAACAAACGGGAAAAATTGACTTCCTAGCCATCCAAAGAATTTTCGTATCAATACGAGCTAAATCTAAATCTGCATATACTTCGCAAATTATCCCTCAACAGCCAAATCTCGATAACTCGAACCCTCAAGGAAAATTTATAAAGGTTCGAGTCAGATCGAGTTCGAGTTTATACTGAGATCAACCTGCCCCTCCCAATCTCTAAGGGAAAAGCCCAGGGTACTATTTTGAGACAGTCTGTCTCTCAAATATACACCTTCTTGGCTTGTTCGCACGGAAACTTCTGATATATAGTTTCAGCAGGGTCAACAGGTATCTTTCCCTACCAGTGCATAATGGCACCTTAGTAGCCTAGATATCAGCTGTCTTTCCTGGTCACTCTGAGAGAGCATTGTCGTCTGCAAGGTTTGGTTGTTGAATGGGACTGGGCTCTAGTGAAACTTTCTATGTTTTACCGGGCACCGTCCACGGGATCCAGATTAACTTAAGAATTTTTATGCTCGCCGAGGTTCTGCGTATGTTTTCTGCTGTATTCATAATAAGGTCAACTGAGGATCATGACGTCAGCAGTGTGTACTGTCCTGATATATAAACAATAGCCTCCATTTGGCGCGAAAATATGCTAGGATATTTGCCGCAGACATTATCTGTTCCGAGAAGCGAACAGTTTCCCGAGAGCGTAGCTCGAGGAAAACTGTGAGCTTCGAAGAACAGATAATATCCAAAGACAATTATCCGAGCACATTTTTGCGCAAAAATGGAGGCTACTGTGTTTATTATCCTTCAAATCTTTTTCGCAACACGCTCAGTTTTGAAAATTGGGGAATATTCTCGAATGTTTCCCAGTTTTAGCTGGGGAATGTTCGGTCACGTGACGTGTTTAGACCTATCGCGCGCGAGCGAAAATATTTGATGGATTATAACATGCGATATCAAGTCACTGACCTGATATGACCACGATGGTCTCTAGCCTTAGCCGAGCTTGCGTGCGGTAAACACCAAATCGTACCCTTTTTTTAGTACGCTTCGACAGCATATCAGAATCGTCTGGCCTCGCCATGGGTATTTTGGCTCGAAAATGTCTCGCCAAAATACGAACCATGGTTCTACCAAACTCGTCTGATATGCTGCCTTGTACTACCTCAGCGAACCAAAACGCTCCACTTAGGTATAGGAATTGTACTCACTCGGTCCAGCTGCTATTTCTAATCCAGACCTCGACTGAATGCAGTACAAAGCCTTCTGTGAGCGCAAAGAGCAGATTACAGCTCTTATAATTTCGATTTACTTTCTTAACTGTCATATCGAATCAGATAATCAAGTAATGAGGAGATCCTTATTAATTACTTCAGTTTCCGATCAAGCAACAAAAACTCTAATATCTAAATATTGGAATGGCATGGCACGATTGAGGTGACTGACAGCAGTTCTTAACATTTTCTAGCACTTCTACTTTGATGGATCAATACAACCATTCTTTGCCAGCTTACGCTCAATAAAACGAAGGCATCAAACAAATTTCTTAGAAATGAGCGTATGGATAATCTGTAAAGTATCTCAAGAATTACTTTTTTTTCCGCCGGCAGTATTTCGAAGTCAGTTCAGTATAGTGGTGTAAATCTGACACCCTACCCCACCCCTACTCAATAAACAAAACGATACACGAAGTACAAAAAGACACGAAATACACACAAAAACGAAAAGAAATCACGGCGAAACAGAAAATACATTGAAAGACATAAGCATACCAGTGTAAATAGCAAACGTAACTTAGAGCTCTATTTTACTTTTCTTTGTACTCTGTAGAATATAACGCTACGTTTTGCAACCTATCGTAACGAATATATGTAACTACATATTTTTGTTCTTGTGCTCCATTGTATTGTAAGTATTATCTGTAAGTATTGTAAAGGGAACCTAGATATTCAGTAAATGGTTTGAACCCAGGAGTATCAATAGCCTGTATAGTGTGATCACTTACTGACACTTACTGACGATCACACTATACGAACTAACCTAGATATTGTTCAGTAAAAGAATAAAAATAGCAAACTACAACTAAAAATATTGGTCAGATTCGAACCAGGACTCGTGATACTGAAAGGTGAATGCCGACACCATTTTGTCATGGGCGTTTGTGATGTCATGATAGTCGTTCTATGACCAGAGATAAATATGATCGAACTGATCCCGCCTGTGCTCTTGCCATCCGACGCAATTTTAAACTTCACTGTTCGATCATCACTGGCGAGCGAGAAAAAAAAAAAATGAAGAAATTCTTAAAAAGGACCGACATTGTGAAGACAGTGACAGTGCAAGCTCGGGGTTTCTTTCGACTGATTGAAGCTTCTAAACATACAAGTACTTGCGTAAAGAAAGTAATTGAGACCAATAAAACCTCATAAAAACGTTTACATAGAAGAGATCCATTTCATAAACAGATGTGCTGATAAAAGATACTGAAACAGGTAAAAGGTACTGATATGTTGAAGGCATCTTCTGCACGTGTCTTAAAATGACTGAGAATTTCCTTTTGAAGAAATTCTCTCCACCCGGCCGCCCTTAGTACGCCCAGCGGACCTGCCGTTATGCTTGTTGACTGTTATTGGAGCGATTCACCATTTCGTTGTGATTCATTTACTTTTGCACTGAATTTACATACGTCACACCTCAGTGACAGTATAGGCATTTAGCTTTGAAATGATTACAGAAAAAGAAAGAAACTTGCAATGCTTCTAAACTGGAGTACCTGGCAACAATTTGCCCTTCTCTAGAGTTTACCTGCAAGTTTGGAAGTTCTACACTATGCAATCTCTAAGTTGCGCCTAAATAAAGTTACGTCAATCGTTCTCATTATTTTGACTTTTGAATTTTAATTGACAGACGAAGGGTACTTCTAAAGGCAGATTTCAAGCATGTTATAAAATGGTAGTAAGGGAGGGCTGAAAGAGTATGTAAATTATAATTTAACTTTTTTCTTTATGAGACAGACATGACTCTTTCCTACCGTTTGTAGAAGCTTCTCTTAAAGGAGAGGTTTGTTTCGTGAAATCAATATACAGTAAAGCCAGATTTGTTTCACTTCGCTAATCAAGCACGTTGCTTTGACTCTCTACTCGCATATTAACTAGTTTAATTACATCAGTACATCACAAGACTTTGCGCGATACATATCTCTAATTAACTCCTACCTAAAGCAGTCTTAAATCGAGTCTTGAAAGAAAACTCTGACATGGAACAAGGGACCATAAGAGAGCAATTCCGTAACATTGTTTGTTTTTTCATCCTTGGATACTGTGCGTTTTTCCTCGGCGAGGTGATCAGCGCGGCGACTGTGGATATTTTCGCTGGAGAATCTACCTGGTTGAGTGCAGCAGTCGTGACATCAGGACTTGCGCACGTAGTCGTGAAACTAACCCTTCCTTGGGTTTACCATAAACTGCCATACTATGTTAAAATCGCGCTGCTGCTCTCCTTCTGTACCGCGGGACTGGTAATCGTCGTTGTCCCCAATTCGCAAGGTGCACGACTCTTAGGGATGACTGTTTTCGAATCTGGCAGGGCCATGGCGGAAGTCGTATTTCTTTCAGTGACAGCGTTCTATGGTGACTTGGCACTCCACAGCTTTGTGACAGGAGGTGGTTTGGGTATTGTAATGGGTGCATTTTATTACTCAGGTACGTAAAGTTTTTTAGAAGGGATTCGAAACGGTTGGGTTAAAGTCTAATCCCACCCAACGAATCAAAGCAACCAAGAGAATCAACAGTGCGGAAAGAATTTTCTAAAATCCGATTTGGACGAAGAGGATGCTAGTCCATCGCAGATAGCCCCCACTAACAAATTGTCAGGTTGACCTAACGCTTCGCCAAAACTCGCTTACATATCTCTGGGTGGAGAGACACTATGAGATAAGAGTAGAGCGTAACACATCCCAACAAAATATTAACCCAGGCTAGTGCTCGAATCCTCTCGTCTCCCGTTAAAATACATTTGAGTAAATTAACAGAACCTTCATTTAACCTAGGAGCTGGGCGACTTAATTGAGGGAAATATATGTTGGCGGAAGGAAGCGACTAGGGGAGGGAAGGAATGGCTAAAATAAAGTGATCTAAAAATTACAACTTCAAACAGAAGAACTGGTTTTGTGAGATTTTCAGAAGTGCAGTTATTCGGATGATTGAACGGTGCCACTTTCAAATTAAGGAAATCTTTGTGTATGGGTTATGTGCACAGTATTCGAACATTTCCTAGTGTCAAGATTCTTTCCTGATCAAGAAATGTAGCCCGCTCAACAAAGTGGGGTTTTCTTGTTGAGAATTTAAGCACGACAATTATACAGCCTTTTGCCCATTACTCAAATTATGCGGTAACTTCAACTTTCACTTATGCCATGATTCTCGGAGGGTAATGGGCTGGATTATTCGGTAAAAGCCACAAACATTCACTCAACGTTACATCAGTTTTAGAATACATCTAAATTCCTTTTATGACTGTAAGAATTTCTCCAGCGATAGAATTTTAATGCAAAGAATCTCAAAATGATTGGTCTTCCGAGTGAAATATGTTTTCATTATTCGTTTTGCTTGCTACTTTGATATTGTTTCTGCTTTATGTGGCCCTGAGGGTAGGATTGTGCCGTGAACCGTTTCAAAGATAACAGTGGTGTGTTTGCCGGCGCGCAGGTCTCTATTACGTTTTCCGGAGGAAGGAATTAAGTAGCACAGGGACCTCAAAGTAAATAAAGAGGATATATTTTTTTCCCAATATTTCACAATACATTTTCTTTATAGTAGAACTACCAACAGTCTCACAGTTTCATCCGTAGGCTTCTGCAACAACAAAAAGACAAGTTATAGCGTAGAAAATATTCTTCAGTTAACTTCTAAGCCGATCTTGGTTTTCGCTGGTTAAAGGAAGACTTAATTTAACAAGATCACGATAAAGCAACTCAAAAGAGCATATAAGACGTTGACAGATATCAGGTTAAATGCTCTTTTGAGTTGCTTTATCCTAATCTTGTTAAACTAAATCTTCCTTTAACGAGTTATAGAGTGTTTGCATGATTTCAATGCAGCATTATTTCAACCAAAAACATGTCCATCATGTTGTCTATGTCGTTAAATTCTACCTGCAACAATATAAAGCCAGTGTAAACTGGCAAGAGGTTATCAAGGTAAGTTACCTTGATTATCTCTTGAAACTGGCTATTCAGTGGCCAAGACAGGTACCAATTTCTCTAAAAATGTATGGTAATGGTAATTCTTTATTTAGAGTGACAAACTCCGCTTAGCCGTAAAAATTAAAAGCTACCTCGCAGGAAGCCCACTATTAAAATAACATAAATATACATCAATTAATAAACAAGTAAACAAAAGAGAATACAAACAAGTTAAAATGTAAGTACATAACTGATATAATGTATGTAATGTCTTCCAACGCGTTCAATGCTAACTCTGACAGTATGGTGTTTTGGCTAAATTATCCATTTTAAGATACACATCTGCCGGCAAGCCAATCCCTTGTGCTTTTTATTATATACTCAAAATAACATCACAATGCTAAAGCGGCCTTTTAGCCTCTTTAAAAAATCGGAATGTATACTGTGCCTTTACTTTAAACTGGGGAAGAGGGAGGGGTACTTTAGAAGTCTTTGGTGGGGCGTGTGGCCAACAGGTGAACCCCTTATTGTATGTATTTCGAACTAACTTTGAGGTTTTCCAGTAACTATTTCAGACCTCAAAACTTAGTGCTCAAGTGATGGATCCTATCGCATGTCTAATGCATAAATTCACGTCATTGGAAATGGCTCTCATTTGCAAACTAACATTTGAAACAATCAAAGTGTACCACAAACCTACAGCTTTGCCACTCATGGTCAGAACAAAAGTTCTCAAGAACAGTACCCTTTGGCCTTGCATATTGGTACTTTGTTTATTGATGAGGATGTACCCCAACCCACCACCAAACAGCTTTTTCAAATCATTAATTAAATTACCCTTATTATTTTGGTCTTTTATTGGACGTCTTGGATCAGGAGCTAGGAACAACATCAACAACAACAACAACAACAATAACAACAACAACAACAACAATAACAACAATAACAACAACAAAAACAACAAAAACAAACGTAAAACCAAAAGGTTCGTTTTGTTACGGTAACCCGGCACTCAATTGCACTTGTATTTTTGTTTCGCAGCTCTTTTGACATGGACGTGTTTTTCCCCAAGAGTCACAGTGTTTTTCCTCATACCCGTTGTGTTTGTCCTTCCTCTCATGTACGCATTCTTGGACAAGTTCCCAGTGAAACGGCAATCCAAAAACATCTCTTTTGCGGGTGTCCATTACCATGCACTTCCCGACCAAGAAGAAAGGCAGAAAACGCACGAACTAAGCATCAATGAAAAGCTTTTGGTGTGGTGGAGCATATTCATGGCCATGGCTTACCTTTTCTTGCAGTTCTTTGCGGATCAACTTTCATTACAAGCTGTCATTACATCGCTTGTATTCCCGAACAAGTCGCTTTACCTAATTGGCCATTACACTTATTACATGCTAGCCCATAATATTGGTAGACTCCTTGGTCGTTCGTACCTCCTGATAGTCTCAGTCACGTGCTCACGTGTAGCTAGTCACGTGCAAATAAAACATACTTGGATCTTGGCTGCACTCGGCAACGCGCTTATGTTTTGGTTTGTGTTTGCATCATGGTTTTACCTTATTGGAGACATAGAAGTTATTCTGGTTTTGTGTTTCATGATCGGTGTTCTTAGCGGAAGCACCTACACCAATTCACTGTCTGTTGTAGGCGAACAAATCACAGATGTTAAGGAGAGAGAGTTTGCACTGGGCGTGCTTACATTGGGATCAGCCGCTGGAATGTACGCCGCTGGGCTCTTAGGATTATATCTGAAGCCATATTTGGCTCATCACTGTTTGATTGATCTTGAATTAGGCGAAGCGTGCGTCTCGACGTTCTTAAACATGTCTGGATGGACAACCAATGCTCGCTGCTGATATAACAATACAGCGCTTATTTTTCGAGTTAGAGATACGGACCATATTTATTCCTGCCGTTTTGCAATCGACTTGCAAAAACGAGCAGAGATTCGCATCTTGTAGTATAGACCAAGAAAACGAAAACGACGTACGCCCAACCCTGTCTGCTAGGAATTAAAAGCATTCAATTTGGTACCTTAATATGAGTGAAACCAAAGTTTTACTGCACTTTGAGGCAGACATTTTTCTGTAATGAGGAGTGCCCAACGTTTTTGTGAATAAGTTATACGCAATACCAATGCGTGTACAGCCTCAGATGAAGCAAAGAAGGGCCAAAATGGGAAATGGACGAACGAACCAATTAAATACACTTCAGCACAAGTATTCAAGCCGCCAGGAGCAACAAGAAATGACGGTGTTGCTTTGCCCCTTCAGTTACTAGAACTGCGGGCTCATTCAGTTTCAAAACATGGGATTCTGTCCTTAACGTTTACTTGACCATTTAGAACATTGTTCTGGACAAGACTAGAGAATCGCAATAATTTTTATAGTTTTAATAATGCTTATTTACGAGTTTATTAATAATCTTAGTAGCTGTAAAAAGACACGAACCTACAACTTTAGTGGCTTTATTACTCATTTTTTAAAAATCGATTAAAATAATATGGTTTTTAGAATTTTTCTTTTATGAAGGGCTTTTCACTGTGTATGTTATGTGACGTTTGAGATTTGCCAAGTCAAAACTGGTTGCCTGAATAGTTTTAAACAATCCTCAATGTTAAGTTACAGAACTAAAACAAAATTCACGCTAACCAGCTGGTTTAATCACCCTTTGAACAACCAGGCCCCGGATCGTATTCGACGAAAACCGTTCTCTGCGATAGAAAGGCTATCTATATTTGTGAACTCGAGTGAACCAAGTGAAACTGATGATTTGACATGTCATCGGAATAAACTGTTATGGTAACGGTTCACTGTTTAAATGCTTCTTTCATCCGGGGCAGGTACTGGTAAAATAGGGCGCGAAAATAGGACACTGAAACATACTAACCCTAGATACTTTATTAGACACTCGCTTTAGGTGAGTGTCAGATTCTATGCTGCAACATAAGGTGCAGTCGTTTTCGTGAAGCAGCGCGATCGGTGTCCAAAGCGCGAGGCTCAATTATTTTCTTAAATAAGATGGGTAGAATGTTGCCTTCATGTCAACGATATTTGTTTTGAATTAATGATTTAATCTAGATGAAAATCATTTTCACTATGAGAATAACTATATTTTAACCTCTGGTATAACATCGAGACATTTTTCGAAGAATGTTCAATATCGTCTGTCGAATCTGTCTCATTTTCCAACAGTAAATGACTGGATTGAGGGATGAATTGAGGAGAACAAGAGTTTCCGAAAATACGTACAATACGTTTATAGTTACACTTTCATTTCCGTGTATGCGACGAGCAATCGAAACGAAAAGATGAGGTAGATAACAAACCCAGAAAAGGAGATAAATGCAAAATGTCCTATTTGCAGATTTTGTGATTCTTGTCGAATTTGCCAGGTCGTTATTTTCCGCAAGCTGTTGCATTTGAGACTGTATTTGTTCTTTGTGGCGTCTTATTGTCAAATATATCTGGTAATGAAGCAGTGTTGTAGCAAGAAAGAAAATGGATTCCATGATGACAAGAAATGCAAACGTGGTATTCGTTGTTAGTAGAAACACTGAGCAGGGACTGATCAGTGCGCTAAATAGCCATATTGTGATAACGACTGCAGCGACTCTTCTGCGAGTCACCAGATCTTCATATCGCAGTGGCATCTGAATGGCAATAAATCTATCTGCACTGATGGCCATAATACTACACAATGAAGACAAATAAAAAACGCTCAAAACAACAGCAGAAGCTCTATCTGTAGAAGGACTTGATCGATTCCATCGTAGTAACTCCGTCAGGTAAACGACTTCTAAAGGTTGGCCTAGAAAACCGATACCAAGATCGGCAACAGCGAGGTTTAGGAGTAATGTTTTCAAAGTGCTTGATAGTGTCGATGTATTTCGCAAAGCGTAGATTGTTACAATGTTCAGCATAATGGTGGTATAGCAGAGACAACCATTAAAGATTGCATTAGCGAGGAGAGCAGAATAGAGCGGATCTTCAACTTTATCTGATTCGAAGGTTACGTTTTGAGGCTCATCATTGTAAATTGCCACCGCCATCTTTTTTTCTTTAGAACAGTGAAACATAACCCGTTTGTTTTTCCCGCCGAGAGGCTGAATGCCGAATATGCTGTGTCGCAGATTGCTTGGTGAAGTTGATTATGGCGAACCGCGGGAGTTTAATTATTGGAACGAATTCATATTTAGAGTATACCTTTCTCACAGGACTATTCCACTGAAAAGGAATGGTTTTTATTTCCCAAGCAAGGAATAAGTGCAAGGAATAAACCTTATCCAGTGTTCATTGACAGGTGTTTGGAGGTTTGCAAATGCTAGTAATTTAAAAGCCTAATAAACCCTTTTGTTATTTCGGTTCAGCCAGCCCCTGTTTCACTTGCTTTTACAACGCAGCGTTTTGATTGGTCATAAAAAAAGTTTAATTACGCCCTCACTTAAGATCCCCTGCGGATACGCTTGCCATTTCATTATTATTTTAGTTAAAAATAGTATAATTTATACAGTAACAGATAAAATTCAGAAAACCCCTTTTATATAATTTTCAAATCCTTTTGAGTAACATCGCTGTCATCGAGGCATATCGAGAACAGTACGTACATCTATAAACTGACCTGGTTCTACTTGACGCCATTTAGTCCGGGCCGAGGTACTTGTGTGTTTTTTTATTGATTTGCCACCCGTTTCTTTAAGATGTTTCCTTGAATTTAAAGCTCAAGGGCTTTTTCAGTTAAATTCTGTTTATTTCAGGTCTCACGCATATGTTTGAAGCAACGTCTATTAAAATACTCGTGGAAAAGGCCAGTTTAGACCCAGAGCCGTAGCTAATACAAGCGAACCGAGACACTTTCCTCGGTAAAAATTTTGAAATTATTTCTTTATTCCAAGTTCCGGTAAGAAAGCACTTTTTTTTGATAATGCCCCGGAAAGACTTTTAGTCTGGCTACGGCGGTTAGATCGTTGTCATGGCTATGGCGGAGTGAGTGCATGCATGCCGTTAAAAGATGATGATGATACTCATCCTGCCTGGCTTTTAGCGTCTAATTCCAACCAACAAACGCTTTTAAAGGGCCGGCTGATAATGTCACTGACGATGCGGGGTACTTTAGAACTCGAGGGATTTGCCACGAGTAAAAACATTAAAAATAATGATTGCACTTTAAATACTTTGCCGATTGGCTCAAAAAATATCAGGTGAGCGATATCTACAGCTGTCCTCAAACTCAAGCACACTGATGTTCGTCTCGGTCTCTTCTCAATTTTTCGCCGGCGTTCACTGCTTGAATGTGTTTTGTTCTTCTGGCAAATATTCAGAATTAACAAAATTTTCAAAACATACCAAAGAGTCCTTTCGTACATTGTAATATAAGTAGTTACCTTCCCCTGCACAATTATTGCCTCCGCCTTACGTTTTGAAGAGTTTCCATTAAGTAGGCGCTATACAAATCTATTATTATTATTATTATTATTATTATTATTATTCCATTAAAACGTGCCTGACCAATGCAAATTTTACAAGAAATCAATCATTTAGCCAGTGAGATTACTTAGTTAAAACAAAACGTAAACAGATGGCTGCCCCGTTCGAACCCAGGCCACATTGCTGGGAGGCGAGCGCGCCACCCCTGCTCCCCAACGTTACGCTGCGCAATAGTACTACTCAAAATCCCATGTTGTGTGTACAGTGCGCGTGCGTGCCATATTTCTACAGTGGAGACCGAGTTGAGGAAGATCACCGAGATCTCATTCAACCTGTTTATAATAGTACTTTGATTCGCATGTAATGATGATTTTCATCTGCAGCTAGAGCCAGCAAAAGTCTAAAATTCTTAACTTTAAATCCAGCAAAGCCATTATTTTAAACGTGTTTTACAAAGGGTGGCCGCAATACGGGGTTCCACTACATCCTGCAAGAAGGTAATGACGTTGCATCAAACTGCACAAATAAAACAAAATTATCGCCTCCGAAAAATGTTTCCAAGGATGCCCACTACGGTGTGTCGAATGTGTCTCATTGTCCAGCAATAGATGATGGGGTTGATGGAGGAATTGAGGAGCACAAGAGTAAGCGAGAACTCCTCCAAGATCTCAAGAGCTATACTTTTGCTTGCTTGTACTTGATGTACAATCCAAATGAAGTACCGTGGCAGATAACAAACCCAAAATGCGAGATAGATCCACAGCGTACTTCGAACAGATTCTCGGAAACCCGAAATTTTAACAGTGTCGCTGTTTTGTGAAACCTGTTGTACTAGAGCTTGCATTTGTATGTTGTGGCGTCTCACGATGAAGTATATCTTATAAGAATACCAGGTTGTTGCAACAAAGCAGAGTGATTCTATGATGACAATACATCCGACAGCGATACTCTCTGGAACCATGAATTCAAAGGACAGTCCCAAAAAAGTGCTGAAGAGCCATATTGTGATGACCACTCTGAAAACTCGTTTTTGAGTAACAATATCCTGGTATCGAAGAGGTTTTTGAATGGCAATGTATCTTTCTGTACTTAAGGCCATAATACTAAAAAACGAAGATAGACAAACAATGTTTACAACAACATGAGTACAAGCGACAAGGCTGGTATGATTTGACAAGTTGGATCGTAATAATGCGACCAAAAAAGCAATGTATAAAGGATGACCTAGCAGACCAACTCCAAGATCAGAGACAGCAAGGCTTAGGAGAAACGTTTTCAAAGGCTTCGACAGTGCAGATGTTCTTCGTAGGACGTAGATTGTAACGACGTTCAGCGTAACGGTGGCATAACAGAGACAGCTATTGAAGACAATATTAGCAATGATGGCAGAATAAAAGGGATCTTCCACCTGTGAAGGTTTGGAACTTGAGTTCTGTTTCTGTGGGCCGCAGATTAAATTATCCATGATTGTGATTTGTCCGAAACATCAAAATTATGGATTGAGAAATGTAGGTAACCACACAACCGAAGGACGAATTTACTACGTGTGTCCGTTCAGCCGTGACGAAGCGCCTTTCACTGAGGGGTGGTGCTTGGAAATCGAGTATGATTCGTTTAGTTTGGATTCCTGACAGTTAGAGCAATAGTCCTTTTACTAAATGGAATCGAAGGAAGAAGCTTGAGCTGATTTTGACTCACATACGTTTGCAGGTGCACGCCTTTAATGTATGTTGCAAATTATTAGCACACTGAAACAAGAAACAAACTTAAATTTGTCCGGCGTTGATTGGTCGTGACAAAGCATTGATGTCACTGGTTGATTTCCTTAAAGGAGTTATGTCAAGCTGTTAATTGTTGTGCGTGAGCAAAGTGTCATTTATTTTTCGTTAATATTATTTTATCCTTGAAACCCGCAAGAGGACCAGTTGCCATTTTGTTTCAATTTGTGTCAAAAGGCAGAAACAAAATTACAACTAAAGAGGACAAAAGGTGTTAAAAATGATTAATTTAAGTAGCGTTTGACCCGCTTGCAGAACGCAAGTTGGACTGGTCAGCTTGAGCCGGGAACAATTAAGGAGTTAATTGGCACCTTCCTTTTGCATTTACATATTTGTGAAAATTATTAAAGGCGGCATGCAGGTCCCTTTGACTCGCCATTAATATTCAAGGTTTGCCTTGAGATCATGGGAAGGCTCTTAAACAGATTGTCCTTTGCATTGGATCGAGTATAATAATAAAGCAAAAGCGAACGTTAGTACTAGAACTTAAAACAAAGTTGAAGGGGAAATAATAAAAAAATAGAAACCAATGTAATAGAAAAACAGCAAGCTCACCGGGTTATGAATTTCGGTCCATAGTCCGCCCATATTTACAATGAATGTTAACGTTGCCATATGTGGATTAGGAAGAAAAATTTACAGGCTGGACCAGATAAAACCTGATCTGCAGATTCTCGTTCAGGGGCGCTTGCAGGTGGAAAATTACTAGACACACAATAAACACGACTCAACCTTTCTTAGTTATTTAGCCAAAATCTGACCTTAATTCGACTGGTTCTAAGAAAGGTGTTTTAATTCACCAACCACCCTCGCTGAGATGTTTCCCTTGTTATTAGTTTTCGCCCCAGTTTGATAATTAGCATAAGGTTTCTAACATACGAATGAAATTCACAAAAGTTTAAGAAACCTGAAGTCTGTTACACTAACAATTGCCAGGCAACCAGATTATGACTTGACCTGAAGAAAACACTCTAAATCATAATCATGGGAAATGTGGGCAGCATGGAACTGTCTGGTAGCCGAAGCCGACTTCTTTAAATTTTTCTAAAGTCCTTTTTGCTTGATTTGACCTTATGAGTTACTTGGTTTTTCTCATTTTTTTTAAAGACTTCAGAAGTTCACAAAATAATTCGTAACTAGTTTTGCTATAGCCCGGAAGTCACATACGTACGCAATGCGGCCCTTTTTATTAAGACAGTATCTACAAAGAACGGTTCAGATCGTTAGTCATGGCTAGGGCTGTGTAGGTGCAGGCATGCCTTTAACAGATGATGATGCTTCGATGTTCATACGTTATCGAATCCTTCTGCCGGGCTTTCAGTATCTAATTATAAAAGAGCCGGCTGAAAAAGTAAAATATTGTCACTGATAATGCCGGGTACTTTCTTTGGAAGTCTAGGAACTTGTCATGAAGAAAAACATTACAAATAAAAATGGTTACATACTTTACCGATCGGCCCAAACAACTTTGCTGGCGTTTACGTCTTGTGTTTCGTTTCTTAGAGAAGTAATCAAAATTAAAACGTTTTAGAGGCCCCTCCTCTGTTCAAAGAACAGCTTTTATCTTCCGTTAAGCTCCCTCCATGTTATGTTTCGAAGGGTTTCCATTATAGCTTGTCGAATATTTCTTATCCTCTAACAGTAAATAGGGCTGAGGCAGGAATTAAGGAGAACAAGGGTCCCGAAGAACTTATTCAACGTGCTTAAAGTCATAGTTCGCCCTGCGTGTGTGAGATGACCAGTCAAAATAGAGTGGGGCAGATAACAAGACCAAACTGCCAGGTAGATGAGAAGTGTACTTTGGGCAGATTTTCTGAGACTCGCAATATTTAGCATGCCACTATTTAGTCGAGATTGAATTAATGCAATAGAAGTAAAAATAAGGATCGATTTACTTGGTTTTTCCCATTTTTTAGCACTGCAGAGGTCAATGAAATAAACTGGAATAACCCGTAAGCCACATATGTACGCAATGCGGACCTATTTGTTGAGACAGTAGCTACAAAGAACAGTTCAGGTGGCTACGACTGTGTGGGTGCAGGTATATCTCTAACACAAGATGATGCTTCGATATTCATACGTTGTCGAATTCTCCTGCCTGAATTTTAGTATATAATTACAAACAAAAGTAAAATATTGTTACTGATAATGGCGGACACTTTAGAAGTCAAGGGACTGGTCATAAATAAAAGCATTACAAATAAAAAACGTTGCACTTCCAGTACTTTACCGATCAGCCCAAACAACATAACAGGCGTTTTTTCTACGAGTTTTGTTTCTTTTCTCTGGAAAGTAATCAAAATTAAAACACCTTAGGGTCCGTTCCTCTGTTTAACTGAACAGTTGTTATCTTCCGCAGAACTGTCTCCACCTTACGTTTTGAAGAGTTTCCATTATAGCGTGTCGAATATTTCTTATCCTCCAACAATAAATGACGGGGTTGAGAGAGGAATTAAGGAGAACGAGGGTCTTGAAGAACTCATTCAACGTGCTTGAAGTCATAGTTCCCCCTGCGTATATGAGATGACAAGACAAAATAAAGTGAGGCAGATAACAAACCCAAAATGCCACGTAGATGAAAAGTGTACTCTGGGCAGATTTTCTGAGACTCACAATATTTAGCATGCCGCTATTTATTCGTGTTTGGGATTGAATTTGTATGTTGTGTTGTCTCGCAGTTTTGCATATCTTATAAGAAGACCAAGTCGTTGCACCAAAACAGACGGATTCTATCATGAGAATGATCACAATAGTGATTTTACCTGGAAGAACGAACACAAAGAACAGCCCTAAAAGAACACTGAGAGACCATATTGCAGTGACTACAGTAATAACTCGCTTGTGAGTTACAACATTCTGGCATCGTAGAGGCTTTTGAATGGCAAAGAATCTATCCGCACTTAAAGCCATAACACTACAAAACGAAGATAAATAAAAAATGTTCAAAATAACACGAGTAGATGCAACAAGAATGGGCCGATTGGAAAGGTTGCATTGCAATTTCACGTCCAGGTAGGCGAGATATAAAGGTTGACCCAGCAAACCAACACCAAGATCAGATACAGCAAGACTTAGAAGCAATGTTTTGAAAAGATTTGGTAGTGAAGACGTTTTCCGTAGTGCGCAGATGGTGACAATGTTCAGCACAATCGTGGTATAACAGAGACAGCTGTTGAAGACGATATTAACGATAGTAGCAGAATAAAGTGGATCTTTAACTTGTAAAGCTGTGGAACTTGAGTTTGGTAGCTTGGCTTTGCAAAGTGAATTATTCATGATTTCGCTTTACATTGAACGTTTTCAATCAAGTTCGACTTTAACAAATGTTTGTAGCCACAGTCTAGGAACGAAGGATGAATGTCGTATGGACTTGATAATTGTTCACCACTACACGTCTTGACTTGGCTGGTGTAAACGTTTCACTCAATGTGAAGAGCTGGAATCAACGAAGACGGATTTGATTATGAAAAAAAAAACGATTTTCTTTACAAGAAAAAAGCTTGAGCTTTTGTTCGAACGTACATGTATGCTGGAAATTCTTGTCACAACAGAATTTTCTCTCAGGTTTTTCTTAAAAAAAAAAAAAACCGACGCCTTGTAAGGAGGCTTTTAACAAAACAAAGGAGTTTGTCAGTCAACAGTCTTCTCCTCCCGGTGATATGATTGGCTGTTTAAAAATTCGGTGACACTGAGGATTTCTTTGTTATTGACATTTCGTGCTATTGCTTTGTCATTTGCGGAAATTATTTTTTCTTGGTAACTTTTATTTTACTCATGAAATTGATAAGCCCTGAGACAATGTGTCAGCCTGTTTGAGTTTTTGACAGTAGGCAAACACTCTCCTTTGCTAACCAGGCAAAAACAGAGCTGACTAAAATTCATCAAAGTCTTGAACTGTTGCCTACAGTCTGTTGGGTATCATTTTTACCCGCGCTAAAGACAGAGATGAAAATAAAAGAGCACATATTTAAGGAAGCCTTCTTACTACATTAATGTAATAAGGGCCCAAATGAGCCGAGCAATCGCAAATAAATTAATTGGTATCTTCCTTTATTAATGTATTAAGTGAAACATTAATTAAAAGCCGCACGCCAATCATTTCTGTTGATGCGAAATTAAAAAGAGACATGTTTTCTTATTTCACCTGAGATAAGGACCTCTGCCAGTCAGACTGAACCAGACTAAGCTGAAAAGGACAAAGCAATGGAAGTCTCTTACGGTCTCCGTCCCCGATGATGGCTCCTGGTATAAAACAACTTTATTCTATTATATTTAATATGAGAAGTCGAAGAAGTGAAAAAATGCTACTCAAAGAAGAGGGGAGAGGTTGTAAGTCCCAGAAAAATATTTTTCTGGCCAATCAGCGGGAGGAGATTCGACTAGTGCTGGAACTGGTTCGGTAAGAATATATTCCCGGGGGCTTTTCAGCTCTCGAAGTAAACTTTCACCCGATTAATATCGATCGCCCGAAAATATCGCTTCGTGCCGGCTAGTAGCCCCTGGGTCTCCGTGTATGTTGTATTCTTCACCATCTACGGGTATATTACGAACTCATAAAGCGACCAACTCCCAGATAGTTATCGCTCAGTCGGTAGAGCACTGCACCGGTATGGACCTGAATTTTTTTCAGGCTTTAATTTCACAATTACTTAAGTTGTGTGCATAACTGCGATGATCAATCATGTCTTGAGATAGTGATTTATCCGATGGATAGCGTTTATCCACGCTTTGCAAAACTGGGCTTAGTATGTTGCACATCAAAAAAGTATACGATCCGTGAAAGGTCTGTAAAGTTGTACATGTAGGGCTGCTGAGTGGAGTCAGATACAAAAGGGAAGGGGAGGTACAATATTGCTTTTCACGACTGTTCTACATTCCATTTTCCAAACTCTAAGACTCGTTGTTTTCTGCTGAAGATTTCTTGTCCGTGTAAAGTCTTTTTACGCGTTCCATAAAGAACATCTTAGAAAGCCTGGAGAAAGACGACATTTAAAAGAGGTTTTAAAGTGCACCTAACCC